CTCTCTCTCTCTCTACCGTTAAGTAACTTGTGCATTGTTTTACTTGTTTTTGACGTATCCGACCGAACTACAAACTTTCCAGCGATGTCTGTGAGAAAGGTATATTCACTCGACAAGCTCGCGCATCTGCGCCGCCGCGCACTCAATCCACTCAGCGTGATTTGCTTACCAGCTGGTAAGCAAATCAGCTATACAGGCATTAATACTGAATGTTTTATATTCATTGCATACATATACTTCGTAGACATCCTTAATCTCTAATAACTCCATTCTGCTGTCTGTTGTTCTGTTGTCGGTGTTTCATTGTCTGAATATGGCACTTAACACATGCTGTGTGGTATCGGCATTTGGTATCGGGGCATTTTAACGAGTACGAGTACGAGTACAGGAGCTCAGTATCGGGCCCGATACCGATACCAGTATCGGTGCATCCCTAATTTCAAATAAATGTAATGTGCTAAAAACTTTTGCATTTTTTCCCCATCATATTTGTCTTTCACAGTAGCCAGGTTTCCATCCATGAATTTTTTGTGAAAAAATATTTAGCGCTTCAAAATTTTTACCGATATAGCTGATGGAAATGCCATTTATCGATAAAATTTACCAGCAGTTCCCATGTTCATGGTGTTGCTCACATTAAAGCAAGTTTCCCTGTAGTTCAAAATCGCATTAAATCATATTCATTTTATTAAATTTCATCTAAAATTATTTTATATTTGGTAAGAAAAAGACAAGTTACCTCTCAAACATACTTATCTTAATTTGATGTTTCTTTAGTAGCCTACATTTACGTTATTTTTTACAGTGCACTGCTCAGTTTAAATAGCCTGTAGTCCGTGCCGTTCAGCATGACCACCATACCCCCATGATATTATGCCAAGCACATTTTGTTTTACGTGGATATTGGAACGCGAAGTACAAAATTTTAAATTAATATATTTTGGCTTGTTAGTAGCTTTTCATATTTTTTTTATTCTTGTTTTGTTCTGAGTTCTGTTCTACCATTAAATTTAAAGTATTTGTTGTGGAGTGAGGGGAACTAAAATAGCATGGTTTTCAATGTTGAAAACATTGGCTGGCTGTATTTTATTATGACAATTAACAGGCTGTGTTGTAGAGTTAGCAATGCTTAACTGCGCAAGTGAGGCGCCGGCACGATCGCTTGTTTTTTTTTCCTTATAAAAGTGGAAACAACTTACACCGTCTACACCGGACGCGAGCGGCGCAGCAGCTGTCGCATCCGGTGTAGACACGGTGTTACTATACTCCTTCATTTGTGGTCATATGAGAGTAAGACATTATTCACAACTATTCTAAATAGTCCTTTATTTGTGTACATTCACAATAAAAACAAAACATTGTGTTTTTGTAAAATAAAGGAAACAAACAGGATGCCGCTTTCTCAAGAGCGCATCACAAAAATGAGCCGAAATTCTGCATTTAGGCTGATAATTGTTGCACAGTTTTTTTTTCTTTCGTTTTGTTAATTTATTATTTAGAAAAATATATTTCACATATAGTCCTATTTATTTCTTTTATATATAGCTTTATTATGTTTTTCTCCATTCGCAGAAGCGCTGCAGGTGCGTGATGTGACCATGTGAATCCTCACGTTCTGTTGTGTATGCTGCTTTTTGCGTGTATAAAATGAATCCCAGGAAAACAAATTTAGGTATTTTTATTAAGTCACAGCCATGTATCAATTCAAATTTCATTTAATTGTAATTTAACATAATCTTGTCAGTTAATAATGGCTTAACGGCAGTCGGTTGTTGGTTAGGAGAAATAAAATAACCGAAATGAACATTTCCTCTAAAAGTTCATCAGAAAAATAATGATAGGCTAATACAACTGCACCTATTTATGAATAATGCTTGATGATCAAGTATCTAAATAGTCTATAACAAAGTACAAAAAAACCAACTCATGACACTTGTTAAAAATAATTTAATGCAGGCCTATTAAATTTAATAATATGCTATATAATAAAGTTTTGTTTCAAATGGATGAAGAACAGGCTACTAGTCTATATAATTTACGCAATAGGTGAAATTATGTATGGAAACAGCTCAAGGACATTTTTACACCAAAACTTATGCGACAATTTGTTTTTTAGGGATGACGTCATAACGCACACCATTTTATCGGTAAAAGGCCAGTTGGATGGAAACAGACTGTAGACAGAAATTTTCGCAAAGTTTTTTTACGCATATTCTCTTTGTCAGCGCAAAACAGCGCAAAAACTGGATGGAAACTTGGCTAGTGATAAAAGCTAAAGCTAAAGAACCAGGTTCTTTAATATTTTAATGGCATGTTTACATAACTATAGACTTAATACAGCTTGTACTTGTAGTTTGTTAATTTGTGGAGGCATCCAGATGTTGAGTGTTTAATGAAACCATGTAATTATTAGGTAACTCATTTTGCTTTTGTGCTCTGAGAGAGTGCAGCCTAGCATGAACATTTCTCTATGCGTAGTCAAGTACAACACTAACACCCAACACCCTCCTTTGTCTAAGAGAAAACAGACTGCAAAAATCTGTGTTTGAGCCTTTCTAGCTGAAGTGTTGATGCTCAGTGAGGTAAAAAGTGTTCAGTCAGCTCATTTGATTTCAACATATTTATAAACCGCTATTAAATATTAACAAAGAGAGTGTGAAAACAAAAACAGGTAGTCAGATCGCACAGCAAACAATGCCTAAACTTTTCCCAATCTTAACCTCGGCTGCGCCCCGTCCTTGGGAGAACAGAGGTGAGAAGAGACGAGTGGAGGGAGGTGAGGTAGACAGCCGTCTGAGCGCTTCACATCAGCTCTCCCTCTGTCTGACAGATTGACGGATGAACAAAAAGGACTTTTATCTTATTTTGCCAAGGTCTGGCAGTCATTCAAGGTCTATTAAGCATAAATAAATGCAGCTAGAATGGACACAGCTCCCCACTCCACCAAATGAACACATATGATTTACAGGAAATCTATAGCTCCTTGTTTCAGGCGAATTTATTAAGGTGTCAGGACATGAATCTGACTGCCTCAAGTGCTAGACATTGGTATCAGAAGACGCTCTACATTATCATAAATCGAAGGATTGAAAGCTCATAACTGCTGGTACAGATCAAGGATACAGGCAGTGTAGATGTCATATCAATTATAGAAATGCAATAAAACGATCAAGAATTTAAGAGGTTTGCCGCAAGTCCCCACCAGACTCGGTGTGTGTGTGTGTGTGTGTGTGTGTGTGTGTGTGTGATTTATTTTAATATTGTTCTTTTGAATTACAATTGAAATGAATTAAATGTACAGTATAAATAAATTTTAAAAAATGTATCATAATTTCCACAAAAATATTAAGCAACAAAAACTGTTTTCAGCATTGGTAATAATAAGAACAATTATTGATTATTGACAACCAATAATAATTGCTATAATATTATTTGTATAATATAATATCCTTCAGAAATCATATTAGAATGATTTCTGAAGGATCATGTGATACTGAAGACTGTGGTAATTGCATTAATTTTAAATTATAATAATATTTCACAATACTGCTGTTTTTACTGTTTTTTACTGTTTTTAAAGTAATGCTATATTCTTTTTAAAGATTAGCATTTATAATTATAGATTTTATATAATTTTAAAAAACAACTTCTATAATAATTCTATAATCAATTCTATATTTTATGATTCAGAAATATAGACAATATGAAATGCTACTGAAATATTATAATATTGTATTGATTGATAATATAAAGAATAAAATGTATAATTATATATTTTGCTGGTTTGTACAGGAATTCCAGTCCTGCAATACCCTCCCTTGCCCGGATCTAAAGAAGACCACTCAATGGACCCCATGGACGCCGGTGAATATCTCAGACAATGGAGGCCACTACGAGCAGCGGTTCAGGTACACCTGTAAGGCGAGGGTCCCGGAGCCCAGCCTGCTGGAAGTAGGGAGACAGCGGATTGAGATGAGGTACTGCTCCAGCGACGGATCCACGGGATGCTCCACAGATGGTGAGATCTCATTCTGTCTCTCTTCCCTGCAATTCTTCATTTGTCACTCAGCTTTTTCCTTTTGTCTCCTCTCATCCTGCTTTTTCTCCCTGTGTCTTTGATGGAGTGAGCCCATAGTGACTTTGAGGCAAGCCACTTGATCTATTTGTCCATCGGTGGAAAGACAACATGATGTGCTCCAGTGCTTCTCTCTTTCGTTCTTTCTTTCACTCTCTCTCTCTTTCTCTCATCAATGTGGGCTCACTACATCAGTTTTTGGAGTGTCGTCTCACCCAACACAAGTGCTCTTGGCTGCATTCTGCCTCAGAGAGACACGAGGAACATGCTAATGAAGTCAAATCAGTGAATGTGATTTCTCTCAGTGGTTGGGGGTCTTCCTGTCTGGAAAAGTGCAACACTTGCACTTAATTTTATTTATTTACCTCCCTGCATTAGGTTTCACATCTGTGAACTAGCTGTGGTTACAACAAGCTGTTAACTGACGAGTTACGAGAGTCAAAGTGGCACCGAGATATTACACAGATATATGCAGTGAAAACCCTGTAACAGTAAAGTTTGTTTTTGAGAGATGTTTATAGACACTAATATTCTACAGTCACGCTCTGATCTTCAACAGACATTCACTATGCCACACACAAAGCTAATGACAAGAACTCTTTTAGGCTATTTTTCTTTGCTTTTCCATCTCACTAATTTCCATTTCGTTTTACGAGCGACTGAGCTAAAATGAAAAAAAAAAAAACATTCAGAGCAGCACAGAAACATTTAATTTGCTAGTTTGTGGAAGTCTTCTGTTGCTTTTAAATGCAGCTTTTCCATTTGAAAGCTGAAATACAGGAAATCAATGAGGATTTTTTTAAAATGTTAATTGTGTGTTGAGTTGCGTGTATACACAGACACATATATATATATATACATGCAAACATAAGTAATACAGTATTGTTGAGCATAAGATAATTCTTTACGTTCACATGCATATACAGACAGGTTAGTTTTAATTTTTCTGTTTAGTATTGCATGCAATCTGTATATCTCTGACACTCATATGATTCATCAGTGCTGCATCAGTATAATTCATAAATATTAAGTGCCCAACATACACATGAATAATTTCTGCATTTTAACCATTATTTAGCTTGAAGCACCCAGCTATACCGCTGCATGGCAGATGTTTGTGGACAGTGGTTAACATACTGCATATCGTACAGAGGAGGCCTAGTCCCATAATCACCTCCACACTAAAGATGTGTGTTGATGTCAGTGAAGCCACAAGGGAAGATGAGTTCTGAAATGAATGGGCTGCCACTTGGCCAAGATTTAGCCTCACGTCTCGGCTGGCCCATATCGATTTGAATCCGTAAGCCATGCCGTGTGAAAGAGAGGGTGATAAAGCACAGCGTCTCATTGCATAGAGTTCATGTGGAACAATCTAGAGTGGAGGAATGACTGTATGTGGTTACATTAAAGTTCTAAACTAGAATATTGTCAAGCATTACACAATCAAACTCATAGAATTACTGCAAGATGATGATTTGGGTTGAAAATGTGATTTTTTTAACCTGCACTTTTGGATTGTTTATGGGTTGTATTTTGTGTTGCTAAGACACTAAATGCTACATATTATGTAAAAATTGGCTCTTTACTTTTTGTAAAATGTATTTATAAAAGCACAAGGACATTCAGTTGTCTGTAGATAAACTGAGTTAGCAGGGCCCTGGAAGTCACCTTGGCTTTGTCAAGTTGAAGTCACGTGTTTGTTGCTATTTTGTCAAGCCTTTGAGGTCTGAGCCTCTTTCTCTGTCTAATATCAACATTATGAAAGAAACAAGATCAGTAGAATCAGCCCTGGCTGACATTTTCAGATTGGAAATGCATTTGATGCAGGTTTTTTTTTATTAGGCAAATGTAAATCGGCTTTGTGCAGATAAGGTTCCTTGATTTCTCTGCTGTCTTTTTGAGGAGCAAATTAAAGAAATTATCAGTGTCCGCAGCAGCTGGTCGTTATTTACACAGATTCAGGAGCTTTACTTAGTGAGCTGCGGTCCATTTACTTAATTATAATAAGTAGATTAACCTGAATAAAAATATAAAACAATGTCAGATAACAACATCACTTTCTTTGATAAACTGCTGCCTGTATTTGTTCAAACCTTGATGGTCATCAGTTAATTTACTAGTGTTTATAAGTTTAAAAGTTCTGTCCTCTGAGATTATTCAACGTATGAATGGATGACAGTCAGCTAGTCGTCTAACACATTTTCAGCAGTGCTTAAATTAACATGCAGACAGTGCGCTGGGCTTTATCTTTTAGACATTTTACATGGTAAAAAAAAAAAACACTCTGAAAAATCTTTAAATTCTGCCCCTTTATAATGCTACTGCTATAGCCATATGCATTCAGACATATAAACTACAGTTCAAAAGATTTTTTTAAAGAATGTAATACTTTTATTCGTCAAGGATGCATTAAATTAATTGAAAGAGACATTGAAGACATTTATAAGGTTACAAAAGTTTTCCGTTTCAAATAAATTCTGTTCTTTTGACCTTTCTATTCATCAAAGGATCCTAAAAAAATGATTACTGTATCCACAAAAATATCTTTAAAATATATCTATAAAATAACTTTTTTCAACATTGGTAATAATAAGAAATGTTTCATATTAGAATGATTTCTGAAGGATCATGTTACACGTTTGATCAATTTACTGTGTCCTTACTGAATAAAAGTGTTATAATTATTTATTTACCCCAAAGCACAACTGCTTTCAATATTGATAATAAAAAAAAAATGTTTATTGAGCAGCAAATCAGCATATTAGAATGATTTTAAGAATCAGACACTGAAGACTGGCGTAACGATGCTGAAAATTCAACTTTGCATCACAGGAATAAATGACATTTTAAAATATAATACAATCGAAAACTGTTCTTTTGAACTGTTACTGTTTCTGTTATTTTTAATCAAAAATATGCCACCTTGGTGAACACGAAAGAGTCTTTCAAAAACTTTAAAAAATCTTTCCAAATCTTTCCAGTCTTTGTCTGTTGTCACATATTGCAGTTTTTTGACCATGTCAAATTAAAAACAAACTGTTTCTTATATGCCTAACCCCTAAAAAAACATATCTGATCAGGGTCATGTGAACCTCAGACCAGCCTAATTATTGTTAATTAGTTATGTTAATAGTTGTTCAGGCCAACCCACTGATTAGTCAATCTAAATTGGGTAGTTTATGCAAACCTGTTAAAATGAGGTAATAATTTGCAATTTAATGAACGCAGTTTAGAAACTAAGAGGGCGATTACAAATGTTTAGTGTGCAAAAAAACGCTCTGTAGCTTTCGTTACAATACAGCACCATTTTTCTTTTAGTGCAAGTGTTTAACACTTAACCTTCAGTACAATAAAAATCAATACATGCACCATTATGTCTATTTGTTTGCTGGAGTAATGGCAGTGGCTAGAGTGAAAATGCTGCCAAACAGTCAAGCTACTTATCTTAAAACCTTGAGTTTCTTTGCAGCATAAGCCAGAGGCTGTAACTGATGATGGCCCAGGTTTGTAATTTGGCTATGAGTGATGCCTTCATTTATCTCAGAAACAATAGCACATCATTTTAGCATGTGACTTTAGCACTATTTTCTCATCTAAATACCGTGCTGCACGGACAGCTCCATCTCTGCGTCTCTGTCTTTCTCTCTTTTTTTCTTTTTTTCTTTTCTCCTCCTTTTCTCATAGAAGCGGCTGATATCTCCAAGGCTATTTACTGTCGGCTCCCTACAGATCTGCCATCAGTTAGAATCCCACTCAGTGTCAGATTCTGCAGACCTTAGGATCTCAGCTGGCAAATTTCTCTGTGGTGCATTACACACACATGTCCTTGGATACAAAATAGAAAATTTCACTGTCAGTGATTCTGGTCTCAACCTTACACAGTCAGGCCCAAAAAGTCTAAGAGCGCATCTGAAAATCTGGGATTAAAAATCAAGTTTAAAACTGAATAGAAACTTAAAACTTTTGCAGTTCGTGCATCTCAAGTGCTGCTTTTGTTAAAGCAAAACAGAAGCAAACCAATGACATTGTGATTTTTTTTTTTCAGTTTAGTTTTTCTTTCAAATTATGATCATATATGTAATTTAAGCACAAATTTTATTTAATTACATTAATATATTTTGTAATTTAAAAGCATAAACAAATAAGTTGAATTTGTATTAAAAACATTATTTTTGAAAATTACAAAGAATCTAATTTATTAATTAATAAAAACTATTAGACTAGTTTTACTATTAGAAACATATAATATTATTATATATACATTTTTAGAAAACTACTAAATTATATTTAATAATTACAAATTAATGTAATTTCTAATTGAAAAAGATGTTAAATTATATTCAGTATTTACAAATCATATCATCCATTATTTTAAAAAAAATATTAAATTATATTTAATAATTACAAATTAATATAATTTCTCATTTAAAAAGCTGTTAAATTATATTCAGTAATAACACATTTATAATACAATTTATAATAAAAAATGTTTGATAGTAACAAATATAATATAACTTATGATTTAAAAACTGTTAAAATATATTAATTTGTTACAAATAATGTTTTAGTATTTTAGGTTATATTTAATAGCCTAATTTATTAATTACAATTAATATAATTGGTGACTTTTAAAGGGGTCATATGAAGTTGCTAAAAAGAACATTATTTTGTGTATTTGGTGTAATGAAATGTGTTTATGCGGTTTAAGGTTCAAAAAACACATTCTTTTCCACATACTGTACATTATTGTTTCTTCTCTATGCCCCGCCTTTCTGAAACGCATCGATTTTTACAAAGCTCATCGGTCTGAAAAGCAAGGTGTGCTGTGATTGGCCAGCTATCCAGTGCGTTATGATTGGCTGAATACCTCAAGCGTGTGACGGAAATGTTACGCCCCTACCATACTGTGATGATGCCCTGTCAGGCCGGAGCGATGATTCATAAACATGAAAACCCATTATAAACAAGGCATTCGTTGCATCCTGTGGAGACATAATTATGGATTATAATGACTTATACTGTCTTTTTACGCGTTGCGTTGCGTTGCGTTGCGTTGCATTGCATCGCGCCGCGTAAACATAAAACCATGTCTGCATTTGAGATCAGAGAAATGACAAACAACAAGTGCTACTCTACACTGCCCAAAACTCGCGTTTGAATCATCAGTGGCAAATTGCAGCGTCAACAATACTACAGCGAGAATAAAAGTTACTCCTTCTTTCTTTGTGTGAACATTTGGGCGGTGTTATGCAAATCTTCCCAGATCGTGACGTAGGTATGTGGGGGCGTGTTAGAACGAGCCGTTTTAGGTAGGTGTGGCTGACTCTTAACTTTTATAAAGAATATCTCTTTGGATTTGAGACTTTAGTCTTTGCAACTTTACAGATCTTCTTTATGCACCAAGAGCTTGTAACACTCCAAAGAGAAAGGAAAAATTGAAATCGCATCATATGACCCCTTTAAATGTTTTTTTTTTAAACACAAATTAATATAATTTGCCATTTTAAAATTTAAAAAAATGTTAAATAAGAAATATGAAATAGAACAGAAATAAAAACAAAGAGAAGCATTTTTTTACCAGTGGTCTCAGATTTTTGGATCCCGCTGTTTATGAGCACCCCACACTGTTCAGTTGACCGTTTGTGTCTCAACTGCTTCTTGCCATGCTAGAATGCTGTATGTCATTGTAATTACATGTATTTGCAGAGGCGTTAACCACCCACTACGCAGACCCATCAGGGAGTCGTTCCTAATTGCCCACCCCCTAACTTTTAATAAGCGCCGGTGACCGCTAGACAGTTTACGACAGCTCTGGGGAATTGCATAAAAGCCACACTCTTAATCCACAAGAGCTATTAATTTTCTTGATTGTGCAGGATATAATGCCACCCATCTCGCTCGGCAGATGTACCGCTGATCCTATTGTCTAACACATGACAGAAGCTGGGATGGGAAAGTTCAATGCATATGCATAAGCGCTGCCTTTTTTAATCGCAAATTTATCTTCTTCGCTTTGCATGGGTTCTTAACAACCAGCAAGCATAGCGAAGTCAAAATCCAATTCCAGAATACGACTTTATACTTTCCTAAAAAATCAATGTAGTCAGTCATTTCTTGGTTAAAGTCATTGAATGCAGCACGATTTGTTTACCTGCGGGTCTAGCATGCACTGACACCTGTGTTCCCTTGCCATTAGCCATCAGAGCCAGGCGCCCCGCTTTGAGGTGTGAGTAGATTATGAAGTAGTCTATTACCTTTGAGAGGGCTGTGTGCTCTGGTGCTGGAGAGATTTTAGGTCGACCCATGTAGCGCCGTCGCCTGCTCCGAATGAATAAATGGCTGTGGCTCACAGGGACTGTCACAGATGGATCTCGCTCAAGGTCAGAGGTACAAACACAGAGGTCACGGTGCAGACAGATACTCTGTGGCAAAAACACTCTGTTTGATAAGATAAATGTTCTTTGACACAAACCCATACAGTAATAGTTGTGAATGGCATGGATAACTATGATGTGAAAATCCATTTTGCTCTCTGAGCTATTCTTTTGAAATAGTTCAGGTGGTATGGATTTAATAATAGATTGATTTGTTGAAATGATAATCTCTGAAATCGAAAACCCTGTCAGGGTTTATTGAAGAGCATCGAATTCCCATGATTTCCCAGGAATTTAATCTGTTTATTCTTGTTTTAGGAGATTTGCTGCGTTCTGGACGTATCTCTGGATTGACCGTAAATGGAGGCTGGTCCGTCTGGGGGTCTTGGAGCCAGTGTAGTCGGGACTGCAGCTCGGGGGTCCGAAACCGCAAACGCACCTGCTCCAACCCCAAACCCAAATATGGAGGAGTCACCTGCCTGGGGCCTGCCCAGGAATTTCAGGAGTGCAATACTACACCATGTCCAGGTTAGCAGTCCTCATACATAAACTTTTTCCAACTTTTTCCATTCATATTTTTGTGACTTACACATCTTCGTTTTCCCCATTCTGAAATTAAATTATATGTATAAATCTAATTTATTATTTTAAGTTTTGTTTGCAATGTAAAAAATAGTTTTTGTTCTAGAAAAAGTATCTTTTGCTCAAATAGGCTGCATTTATTTGATCAAAAAATGAAGTAATACAGTAAAATAATAAAATAAAGTGAAATACAGATAGGGAATCACAATGTAAATAAAAAAGTGAAATATTATTATATTTTTAAATAACTGTTTTCTATTTTAATGTATTTTAAAATGTAAGTTATTCCTGTGATTTTATAACTGAATTTTCAGCAGCCATTACTCCAGTCTTCAGTGTCACGATCTTTCAGAAGTCATTCTAATATGCTGAATTTTGTATTTTTGTCTAAACTTTTTTTTCAAGATTATTTGATGAATAGAATAAAGTTCAGCATGAACAGCACTTATTAGAAATAGAAATATTTTGTAACACTATAAAGTCTTTACTGACACTTTTGATCAATTTAATGCATCCTTGCTGAATAAAAGCTGAATAAAAAAAATCTTTTGAACAGTAGTGTATATTTGTCACCTACAAAGACTTCACCAATTAACCAAAAGTAAATTAAATGATTTTATTTATAAATATCATATATTTAAATTGATAACTAAACATTTTATTCATTATGTATGTGAAAACATTTCATCAAAGCCAGCTTGTGATAAATTCATTTTCTATAGATGTTCAAATAAATTCTTAAACTACAGTTACAAACAACAGAAATGTGCTGTTTGTTGTGTACCAGTTACATCGTAGTTTGGCTTAATGGAAAATCTTCTGAAAGAGGAGAACATATCCTCCAGTCGAGCACCAGCACTTATTTGGTGGAAAAAAGAACACTGCGTTTACTTTAAAAAAAAAAAAAACATCATACAACACAAATAGAATTCAGACTTATCCATTCTTTCTTCAAATGTTTATATGGAAGCAATCATAAAAACTGTCCTTTTTCAGTTTGTTACTGGTGTGCAGGGAATAAAGAAGGATTCCAGACATCAACAAGTGATAAAAGTAAGACACAACCCACATTTGCGAGTGGTATTTGTACGAGTAGAAGACAGCCTCCCTGTTTTAAGGTGCGAGGACCTCAATTTGCCGGTGGAAATGGAGAGAAATCTCAGTGGCATCGTTGTGTCTAATCACATTTCAAGCTAATTACACCGGCAGTGACGGGAAAGCAGGATTCAGTCATTAAAAGGCTTGTGACAATGGTGTACACCCTCTCTAAAGTTGAAGGAGGGGAAAAAGCTCTCTAATTAAATGAGCGCTCATCGTTATGTGTGCTGGAAATATGCTGTCTAAAATGGAAATGCGCTACTTGGGTATTTTATGATACCTAACGATGAACAAGACACAATCAGGCAATGCGGAATTTGTTTTGCAATCGTAATTAATCAATAGCCTGTTTTTGGAGAGTTGTAGTTTATAACTCTTGCTTGATATGCTGGAAAGCTAATTGCTCCTGCTTAATTTTACAGAAGCTGTTTTCTAACTGGAAATCACATATTTCCTGTAAAGTGACAGTAGCAAGACCAACGGGACTGCTCCAGTAACAAAGACCTCCAGAGGTTTTAAGACCTGATTAGAATTATTTATATTTTTCTCCGCAGGAGTAATTGCTAACAGATCAGGAATCGCAGCGCAAATTTTATAAAAGCGGCAGATGACAGATTGTACAGCAAACTATGTGAGCACACTGTCGATCAGTAACTGTGCTGTGCACTTCACTAAGTTAATTCAGTCCTTGTCTACTTCCAATGAAACGTCTTAGTAGCGCTTAGATTCAATAGCCCCTTTGTACAGGCGACGACAGAATAATACAGATGACTTTCATCAAGCGTATCCCAGCAGGAAGCTTGGAAAAGAACACATCAAATTGCTCTACACCTCCATAAGCGTCTCTGAACCGGAGCTTGTCTGTGACCAGTATTCTGACTGTGTCTTTTATTGGTTCCTTCTTGCCGAGCTAAATCTTTATACGTTCAAAGTCAGACCTTTGAAATGCATTATTTTGTTTTGAGAGAGGCAGACGGAGGTCTCGCGGTTGCAGTTGTGGAGGATCTGAAACGAATGAATCTTTTTTTTGTTGCAGGCCACAAGGGTGAAATGAAATGATCAGTCACGCCGGGGCAGACATGAGCTGATTTGTCATTTTTCGCAATAGAGAAGTTATAACAGATGATAAAATGCAATATTTCGTTTACTTATGTCTTTTATATAAAAAAGTCACCTTTTCTGGTTTTTCTCCAACAATGGGAGATACAGTCAACAACACATATAGTTATAAAACCTTTACTAGTAACTATCCTGAGCTGTTACTTCAAAGGCAACAGACAGGAAAAGGTGCATTTGAGCTTCCCAAATCAAAATTGGGCACTAGTTTTAAAAATCTTTTATTCTGCTAGAATGAAATACACTAGAAAAATTGGAGTAGGATTTACTTTGAAGCAATTTTCTCTCAGAAATTGCTAGTAAATTTCACAAATAATTACAAAGAAACAGTAAGTAACACATTTAATTAAATGGGATCTTTTTAAAGTAGAAAGACTGAAATAGTAATTTCTTGAAAAATGTACTCTCCAAAATGTACTTTTTGTTGCATTTACAACTTTTGCATTTGAAAAATATTTTCGGCAATATACAAATGTTGCAGGGCTGTCACGATATCAGAATTTCACTACACGGTTATCATGGCTAAAATAATTCATGATAACAGTATTATATAAATGTCTATAGAAATTTTAGGGAAAAAAGGTTTCAGTCAAATTTATCTTTAATTAGATTTTTTTGTTTGTTTATTTTTTATTTTTTGCTATGAATCCCCCGCCCCCCAGTTCATCAAATAAAGCAATCATATTTCTTAAACCGTTCAATTAATATGGATTATTTTTACAATGCCTTTATGACCTTTTTGTATCTTCTAAGTTTTGGTTACCTGGATTTTCAGTGGAGGGACAAAAACCTCTCAGATTTCATTAAAATATCATAATTTGTGTTTCGAAGATTAACCAAAGTCTTATGGGTTTGGAAAGACATGAGGGTGAGAAAATGACAGAATTTTCCTTTTTTGGTGAACTAACCCTTTAAGACATTTTACCACAAAATTGGAATAATATGCAAACTTTATAAAATGTAAAAAAAAAAAAAAAAAAGACTTATTTCCTAGACAATAATGTCATTTGCTGAACTAAATATTCTGAGATCATAGCACAAATGCTGTTTTTAAGTATTTTTTAATAAAAATTTTAAATATTTGTAGCATACTGTATACCGTTTAGCATACAGTTTTTTAATAGCAGCCAATATACTGTGCACTATACAGTAATCAGTATGCTAATATTTCATACTAAACGCAGCCTAAATCTACTCATGTCGGTGACTCTCACCCCTCTTCCACAAACCTGTCAGACGGCTAATGCTAATGTAAAATGAGACTCAGTATGCTTGTTTTCCTTTAATTAGTTCCAAGACAGTCGTAGTGTTTCGTGAGTTGTTCTCTGTTCCCCCAGTTGTCGCGGGTGATGACCCTGAGCTTGGCACTCGCTGAAGAGGGGAGGGAGTGAATTGATGGTTCGTTTAGCCTCATTAATTAAAGCAGGGGTCAGAGTGAGAGCGCGAGGGAGAAGCAGAGCTCCAGAGCAGATTGTGTGAACAGCCTCTCTTCTCATCAACCCCCGGATTCCCAGCAGTCTTAGCATCTGGATTTAGCTGGTTTTAACACCAGATGATTTCATTGTAGTGATCGTATCAGTGACGTCGTTCATTCAGATTGTGGTACTAGATGAATAAATGTTTTGGATCTATTTAAATGAAATGCATATTCACTTGTTAGCAGGCCATCGTTCTTTTAAGAGATTTATATGTAAATGAGCTGTGCTATGATTGGCTAACCTCTTCAAATGTGAAATGAGTCCCAACCCCACCAAATTTCTGAATATTTAATAGGTGCTGTTATCTAAATCATAATAGTTTTGATATTACAAATGTGATGCCTTCTGAATGACCTGTTTTTGCAGATCATTTTCTACAAATGGTTGTCTTATGGAAGTGTACATAATAAATTTAACTCTTTTATTTGTAATATTTTATTTCTTTTAAATCCTGTTTTCCATGATATGTCCCATTTAAATTTAATGACACTAAATATGCTCAGTCTGAATCACTCCTCTTTGCTGAGAAACAGCGAGAAAAGTGTAGAGAAAAAATGTCATGTAACACATTTGCCTTTATTGATATAAACTAATGTTACACATTTAGAGTGGCAATCACACTTGAAATTATTCAGATATAATTATTCTATTTACTTTGAAATGACAGATGCTCTTCCCAAAATTATTCATGACACAAGCGCAGTAGGATTTAGCATGTTTTGACACCAGATGATTTCATTGTAATGATCTTATCAGAGGTAACTATGGTGAAGTCGTTCATTTATATTGTGGTACTAGATGAATAAAGTTCCTGGATCTGTTTAAATGAAATGGAGCACATTCACTTTTCCCCCTTAAACCCGAAACACACTGCATGATTTTTGGCTGTCCCAGACAAAAGATTGGCATCGTGAAACAATCGTGGCGATTTCTGTGATCATGGCTCCTAATCGGTGGTCCTGTGTCGTACAGTGAGAGTCAAAGACGGCCGTTGTCACGGTCTTGTGACAAAAGATAACCTACGATCATATTCTGACAGTGTCAGAAATACAGCATGATCATCGCACAGTGTTTTTTTTTCAATAGACAATTTAGTTTTATGTGACTGTTTTCTACCTTCTCTCATCCTTTTAACAGGCCAATGTTCTTTTTAAGAGTTTTATATGTAAATGAGTTGTGCTATGATTGGCTAACCTCCTAAAATGAGAAATGAGTCACAAACCCACCAAATTGCAGAATACTGAATATGTTCTGATATCTAAATCTTTATAGTTCTGATATTACAAATGTGATGCCTTCTGAATGACCTCTTTTTGAAGATCATTTTGTGTTATGGGGCTACTGTATGTATTTGTATTAAAAATGAACTCTTTTATTTTTATTGTTTTATTTATTTTAAATCATGTTTTCCATGATATTTCCCATTTAAAATTAATGGCACTAAACATGTTTATCTGAATGACTCCTCTTTGCTGAGCTACAGTGTGAAAAGTGTAGAGAACAAATGCATTTGCCCTTATCGATATGAACTGTTGTTACACATTTATAGCTGCTCAAAATTATTCCGAAAAATATTTTCACTATTTACTGAAAGAAATGTAGGATGCTAGTCCCAAAGTTATTCATGACACAAGCACAGTAGTAATTTTAGTATGCTCTTTTCCTTATCTTTCAGTGGATGGGAGCTGGTCGTGCTGGTCACCTTGGTCTAAATGCTCAGTGACATGCGGAGGAGGCCACTACATGCGCACACGCACCTGTAACAACCCTCCACCTGCCTACGGAGGTGACATCTGCCTGGGTTTGCATACTGAAGAGGCCCTCTGCAACATCCAACCCTGCCCCGGTACACACACACACTTTATCACGTGCATGAACTCAACCTACGTGAACTCGCACACACTCACACCTTGAATCCGACAGGAAATTACATGACTTTTTTCGGATATGGAAGCCTTTGTCTTGTACCTGCTTTCCTTTCGTCATGTCTCACGCATAAAGCGGGCCGTGGGGGAATGAAAGCAGAGGAAATCAAAATGTCACACTTCATAGAAAAGCAAATGGTAAAGCCAAATTTGCGATATGAAGATAATATGCATAAGCTCGCAGCAGGGAGTGCAAGAGAGGAGAGCAAGATAAGGCGATTGATGACAGAGTCAAACCTCGCACATTGATCCACGGAAAGGTGAATGGGAGAAGAGAGCTTGTATTCAAATGTCAGTCCATCCATTAGCCAGAACTGTAGTGAGGTTACCGAGTGACCTTTTATTAGCTGCGTTCAGGTCTATCTGTCACACCATTCATTACACGAGCGCATGTGTAGCTGTACAGTGCAGCCGGGAGACAGAGGACGGGATAAGTGAGGGGAATGCTAATCAGAAGACACTGTGAGGAAGTTCTCCTAAACTGGATTCCAAGCTTTTTAGGTTCCATTGTAGAGTATAGTTTAAATTACCTTGGAGGCCAAATAGATAATCAGTTCACTCGTAAGATAACCACATAACACAATTTCAAGCCTTGCCTGCTGGAAAATAAAAGTCTAATCTGCCAAGAAGGTCTAGCTTCTTTGTTTTAAAGCCTCGTTATACTTCAAGCAAATCAAAAATGAACTGATATGACGATTTTGAACAAAATCAGGCCAAAATTAAGTTCGTTCAAGGTCAAAACAGCTTGCCAAACTTTACAGAAAAGTTTGCACCGGTTGGTAAACACCTTTGAACTACCATTGGTCTTTGGCGATTAGGAGGGTGTGGATCTGGGGCTCTGCCTTCTTTGACATGGAAAACCTCTGGTTTATTTCTTCTGTTAAGTATGTTAAGGTCAGACACGAGGAACAACATGAACACAGTGGAGATCTGCTTTATAGTAGAAATTGAAGTTGTAATTCTAATTGAAAGCGACACTGACACATTTTTTCAAGTTGAAAGGGTCATGAAACCCTAAAACATCGTTTTTGAAATCTTAACAGATATGTATGGATTGCACATCAGATAAAACCATATTAGCACTCATTATGTTTATTATTAAGGGCAAGTGGTTTTTCGTTTTTCAGAGCCATTTCTTTCTTCCAGTTTAAAAAGCAAAGTTGATATAATGTAACAAAATGTAAGTTACATGCATCACTGTCATCAGATGCTTTCTTAACTGCTGTTTTCTCACTGTTTTGTATGTTTATTATTGAGAGGAAGGCGTGTAGCGCATATTTAATATTCATCTAAATGGCGCTCATAGCAACACTGGCGGCATTGGGTTGTTCACTAACAGTATGCCGCTGTTTAGGTGTTTTAAACTTCGGTAACACTTTAGAATAGGGAACACATATTCACTATTAACAGAGTTTTCCCTGAACAAACTCCTAATTAGCTGCTTATTAATAGTTAGTAAGGTAGTTGTTAAGTTTAGGTATTGGGTAGGTTTAAGGGATCTAGAATATGGTCATGAAGAATAAGGTGTTAATATGTGCTTTGTAAGTACTAATAAACAGCCAATATGCTAGTAATATGAATGCTAATAAGCAAGTAGTTAATAGTGAGAATTGGTCCTTAAAATAAAGTGTTACCTAAACTTCTTTTTACCCTGAACAACGAAAAAAGAACTTCACTGTGAATATCTCAGGGCCTTTAGAATTAATTTTGGGCAATTTTTGGGCTGGGAGACTAGATAGACCCTGGGCTGGTTTGAAGGGTCTTGAATTCTCCTATTTCAAAACCAGTTAGTTTTCACAACAGTTTTGAAAAATGTTACAGAAGTGGGCATGATAAGCTGCGGCATGCAGCGGAAAGAGGTGAGAAAGAAAACACAACAGTGGCTTCTGATCCAGTCAGTTTTATTGCACTCTCATTGAGTTAAAAGCATCAAAGGTTCCTACAAATGCACATTGCAGTTCACCACTGCACACATCAAAATGAACAAATATATTATACATGTTTTTGTAAGCTCACAGTGCATTACATAAATCCACATATATCCAGTGATAGCTAGATTTTAATGTTCAAATAAAGGCACAGCCATTTGGATTTGCACTCTGCACTCTGAAAATATGAATGTTCTGTTGCATTTTTAATAAGTTTTGAGACTTATTTTGTGACGTTTATATAAGCCATTCGATCATTTATATCAAGAAGCTCTAAAGACCAGTTACATTCACGGTGTGGATGGATCAAGTTTGTGTCAGAGACTCGGGGTATATGGATGAGAATTTATGCCATGCAGAAACACTTACTAGATAGAGAGAGAGAGAGAGAGAGAGAAAGAGAACTTCACATTCCCTCCCCTCTACATCACTTTGCATCTGATTTGGGCTTGTTGTTGTCATGTACAGAGAGCTGGTCTGATTGGTCCGAATGGTCCCCCTGTGACTCATCAGGGTCTCAGGTTCGCCTGCGGCACTGTGACGTCCTGTTTCCCACCGGCAACCAGTGCTCAGGCAACAGCAGTGAAACTCGTGCCTGTCTACCCATCTCCAACTTCATCCCAGGTGGGCACAGAAACCTGCACACATATACACTCAAACACTTGCCATATCGACCCTGGACAAACAAGTATCTTCCCTTATTGACAAGAAGTAATGCGAGACACACCAAACCATTGATTTCTGCAGTGCAGGGATAATTAGCCTCTCATCCTTTGCCCTGTCTAAGTGGCACGATCGAACAAATGCATTACGCTGATATGTTTCGTGTAGCATTTGCATTCATACATTCGATAGCTGAGATACTTCCGCTCCACAAGTTTTACAAACTCAAACATGAGGGTGCTAATTGTAAGAAAGAACATTATATCCGAGTAACTGTACTTAGTTCTCTGATGATGAACTACAATGTACACAGTCACCTCATTTTTAATGTGCTCATCTTTAAAATGATGAGCTATGTGATCTGCCACTTTGTAGAGATAGAAATGGCTAAACGCATGATCGTCAGGGGAGTTAATACCTCGCTTACGGTGTAGCACAGGGAGTGGATTTTTAAGGCCATTCTGTAAATCTTGTGTAAATATTGTCTGGCCTGCAGAGCCCTCATGTCTTTCTCAGAGTAACATTCCATTACAGCTCGTTAGAAAGGTTTTATACCTCATTTACTTCCATTACTGATCATAAAAATGCGTCGCAGGTGCCACTTTCCTTATTCAGCTCTTTGAATTTTGCGATAATAGGTTGAGTTTGAAATTCACTTGCTGTAATGTTCTGAAACTTCTAAAGATCTCATTTACCAGCCTGACGGATTCATTTCCCTGTACTTTTCTTGATTTTTTTCTGATCTCCTCAGAAACGTCTGTTGCACGTTCAAGTCGGGAGGAACAATGGTGTGGAGGTAAGTAGTGTACAAGCAGCCTTATATCGCTCTGCAGGGGTTTATTTTGCAATTATGACCGGCTAACTGTACATTATCCCCTTTATTACTCAGCTACTTTCCAAATAAAAAAGTATATGGACATGAAATATTGATTTGAGTCAAAATGATCCTATTATTCTAGCTTAAAGCTTAGCTTAGATCAGCTGAAATCCTCCTCTAATAAAAAGCCAAGTAATTTTTTTCTTTGCATTAGCTAGCTAACATATATACACTACTGTTCAATAGTTTGGAGTCAGTATTTTTTTTTATTAATACTTTTATTCTGCAAGAATTAAATAAATTGATAAAAATTGACTATAAAGACATTTATATATATACAAATGATTTATATTTTGAATAAATGCTATTCTTTTGAACTTTCTATTTATCAAAGAATCGAAAAGTATCACAGTTTCCACTAAAATGTTAAGCAACGTAACTGTTTTCAGTGTTTATTCAGCACCATATCAGGATATTTAATCATTATGTATCTGCCATCACAAGAATAAATTATAATATAAAATATATTAAAAATAGGAACAAATGTATTTTACTGTTTAATAATATTTTACAAAATTACTGTTTTGTATGATGTATTTTAGATCAAACAAATGTAGACTTGGTGAACCCACCACTGCATTAAAAAAAAAGGTAATTGCGACTATTTCTGACTTTTTTCTTGCAATTGCGATTTTACATCTCCCAATTCTGACTTTTTTTTATCAGAATTGTGAGATATAAACTCTTTCAGAATTTAAAGAGTTTCAGAATTATATAATCTTGCAATTGCGAAAAAGTCAAAATTGCGAGATACAAACTCTCATTAGCGAGAAAAAGTCAGAATAGTTTATCTCACAATTTTGACTTTTTAACTCAGAATTGCGAGTTTGTATCTCGCAATTATGACTTTATAACTGTCAATTGAGAGTTAAAATCTCACAATTCTGACAAAAAATTGCGAGATGTAAACTCATAATTGCGAGAAAAAAGTCAGAATTGTGAGATAAAAAGTCTCAATTACCTTTTTTTTTTTTTTTATTCAGTGGCGGAATCGGCGTTCCATACATGATGACTTCTTACTGAAAATTTTACTGATAATCTTACAGTAGTACATTTAAAAAATAAGTCCTCTAAGGTCATTTTTTTAACAAGTGCAAAGTGATACAACATACATGAAAGTAGCAGTGATATGTTTCCATTGAACAACAGTGAAATATACAGTTCTTTTGTGTATTATACAAACACACCTGACTGTTCAAAGTCACAACTGACCAATAAGAACCCAGTATTCCAGAGAACAACATAATTCTAGTTGCTATTTATCCAAAGTGCATCAAAACTGATGTTCAATACACTGATTACAAACACAATGTGCCTCAAAGCTTTTTTGGGACCCATTAAACAAATGTGCATTTGGAATTGCTTGTCACTGTAAAGTCCTTCCATTTATAGCAATTATTGGCCGTTCATGCAGACTCGCAGGGCAACAGCGATGCTGACTGTAATTTACTGTAGTGTTTAATTGGCTCAGGTAATGGATAATTGATATCCTCTGGATCAATGCTCAAATCCCCAGCCATCATGCTTGTGTCAGATCATTTAGCCATTAGCCGTTTTGCCTCTCTTGCCAGACTTCAATGTGTTCCACATGATCGCCGTGGGTCTGAGCAGCTCCATACTCGGCTGTCTGGTGACCCTACTGGTGTACACTTACTGTCAGAGATACCAGCAGCAGTCCCATGATGCCACAGTCATCCACCCCATCTCTGCCGCCCCACTCAACACCAGCATCACCAACCACATCAACAAACTGGACAAGTACGACTCAGTTGAAGCCATTAAGGTGGGTGTTATTCATTTATACGATCAGCAATATGTTATTCATATGGGAAATGGATGATGGATTTAGTATGTGGTCTGTGTGTGAATGTGTGCGATGTGTCTCGTGTCTAAATCAATTCATACATTCATACACTGCTTTCTCATAAGTGCAGTTTTGATTCAGTTTGTATACTCCGTGTTTGTGTGAGATTGTCTCAAATGAAATCAGAAACCAATATACAGCTCATGTCAGTACATTTCTGAGAATGTTATTGTTGTTAGTGAGTTACTTTAACCCTGAAAAATGAACTTTTCTCTTAAATGTAGTTTTTTATTACATAATGCTTTAAAGTTATGCAGTGCACTTTGAGATTTAGGCACATGGATCATTTTTTCATAAGCACAGCAGAAAATAATGCACGCCATAATTTTCACATTTAGTCAGAAGGACAGTTAAGGCTTCATTAGACTTGAATGCACAAGACTCATGACTAATTACGGAAAGTGCTTCTCAGTTATTGCTTGTTTAGACACTTTTGTGAAGTTGCATATTTCATCAGCTGGATGTATTGCACTAGAATAGCATCACTTGCACAACATCCCAGCTGAAGGGTAATGTAGCAAATGACTCTTTGTTTTACTGTCCTGAGACTGTAGACTGCGAGTTCACTCGCCTTGCTTTCTACTGATGACAAGAATGAATGGAACTTCAAGGCTACATAGTATTATTGCCATGCACAACTTATTTGTCATATTGTTTTTCTCTTCTGAATGCTGTCAGTTTGTTACTGTAAGTATGGAATATATTTTCCCATAAAGGATCCTTAAAGTCAACATGACATCAAATTGACCGTTTACTTTCTTAATATGTATTACTGTGATTTGTCAATGTTATTCTAAAGAAAATGTCTTCGTAATATTTCATCAAAGTGATTTGAAAAGAATACGTAAATGGCTGATGTCACCATGTTAAAAGGGAAAATAATGTTAATTTTAATAGCCAAAGAGCCTTGTGTCGTTCCAAGCCTATACTGTAATTTATTTATTTATTTTTTAATAAAACAGACATTACTGGAGTGTGTTTTACAAGAAAATACTATTTCAGTCTTTCTACTTCAAATTTTTATGTTTAATTTAATGTGTTTCTTTGTAAATATTTATGGAATTTACTAGCAATTTCTGAGTGACTTTCTTTCATCTTCAGAGCACATATTAAGATATTTTTATTATTCAAATTTTTGTTCATCCATTGAAAGTCCACATAACCAGAACATTTGTGCATCAAAAAGTTACACAAAAAGAAATCCATATAAAATAAGTAGTTTAATTCATGTCTTCTGATAAAAATGGATTATGTAATCAAATGGATTGCATGTATGATGTCATTTTGTATTTTTTTGATGCAAAAAAGTTTTGGTTGTGTGGATGGATTAAAATGATACCAGAAATTAAAAACATATTTTTATTTATGTTTCAAAAATAAACAAAAGTTCGGGTTTGGAGCAACATGATGGTGAATAAGTTCAAATAAAATTTTTATTTTCGGGTAAATTATCTGTTTTATGTAATCAAAGTTACTACAGTTATAACTATTATAAATTTATTATGAATCATAATGCGATTAAGAGTGAACTTGACATTAAACCTCGACATCCCAGTCAAAACCTCTCCTTAAAGGGTTAGTTCACCCAAAAATGAAAATTAGGCTGCGTTTTACTCACCCCCGAGGCATCCTAGGTGTATATGACTTTCTTCTTTCAGACGAATCCAGTCGGAGTTGTATTCACTGAAGCAATGCAACACCCGCTGACAGCAATGATAGAGCTTGAAAGATCAAAGACCATTTTTAATATAACTCCGACTGGATTCGTCTAAAAGAAGAACGTAATATACACCTAGGATGCCTCGGGGGTGAGTAAAACGTAGCCTAATTTTCATTTTTGGGTGAACTAACCTTTAAAAGTTAGTTCCCACAAAAGTGGGAGTTTTGGTTTTTTAGAAGATAAATAAACCACCACAATTGACTATAAACTCCATTCTTGTATGAAATAACCTGATGGATGAAAGCTTTTTTCTTTTTTGAAGTCTGTCATTATGGAAGTAAAATTGGTTTGCGAGGGCCGTTTCATGTTGACTTTAATGACAGTTTCACAAACAGACCAAAACCGACAGCGTAGGCCTTCTTTCCGTCTCCTGCTGCCCTGAGGATGATTGTACTCCATTCCTCTTTTCAGCCTGACGTTTCCGTTCTCTTGCCTTTGGACGAGCACCACATTTGCCAGCCTTTGTCTTCTAACACTGGTGTAGCGCGAGGCCTGGAGATTTTCTACTAACTCTTGACCGGCATTACCATCCTCTCCTCTGACTCTCAGACCTCTCACGAATTCCCTGTCCTTCCCCTGACCCTCGTGTACGTGGCAGGTGTGCTCGCCCATTCCTTCTGTCTGCATATGTCACCAGCATTTCCCATCATCCCACAAAGCAGATACTCAGGCTTGTGAGAAGGCAGTGTAATTCTGGTGTCGTGTCGTGATTATGCTTCATTCCTCTTTTCAGCCTGATGTTTCCGTTCTCTTGCCTTTGGACGAGCACCACATTTGCCAGCCTTTGTCTTCTAACACTGGTGTAGCGCGAGGCCTGGAGATTTTCTACTAACTCTTGACCGGCATTACCTTCCTCTCCTCTGACTCTCAGACCTCTCGCGAATCCCCTCTCCTTCCCCTGACCCTCGTGTACGTGGCAGGTGTGCTCGCCCATTCCTTCTGTCTGCATATGTCACCAGCATTTCCCATCATCCCACAAAGCAGATACTCAGGCTTGTGAGAAGGCAGTGTAATTCTGGTGTCGTGTCGTGATTATGGCTGTCTACTACCATTTTGTTGCATGCATTCCCCTCCCCCCCGTCTCTTTTATTCTCTACCTTGTAAATCGGATTAATCTTTTCTTCTGAATTATTATTTTGCTTGCTTGTTACTGCCACCCCACTGAGCTCGGTATTGGCTTACAGCTTTGTTACATTGTTCTTTCTAATTATGTTGAAGTCTGAATAAATAAATTTTTTTTTTTTTTTAAAGCATATTTATATTTTATTTTGAACTTTTTAAATATTTATGAACCATGTCAGCCTAAGTCATTCATTTATCAAAACAAAAACACATAGAATAAACTCTTATTTAATTTGTATATTTCTATTTTATTTTTAACTTTAATATTTATGAACCTTGTCTTTAAATGTTTTATGCTTATATTTTAAATGTTTATTAAAATTAAAATCAAAAAATCAAAATCGAGTCTTAAATATTAAAACAGAGTTCATAAATATAAAAAGATTTTTTAAGAACTGAATAAACATCTTATTTTAATAAACATTTTATAATTAATTATTTTTATACTTTTTGTATAAATTGGCTGATACAGAGGTAGTGTAACCATGTTGAGCATATGGGTGGCAGAAACAACTAAAAATACATTGTATGAAAAGCTTTGTTTACTTAGTCATTTCCATCTGTCTTGATGCTGTGGTGTTTTGACTGCTCTTTTTTATTATTCTGTGAATGATACTAACTTTTCTAGCCGATTTTTTTAAAGTTAGTAATGTATAGTCAGCCAAGTGAATCAGTCTTTTGTTAAACCCTCTTCATGGTTTGGCCATCATTCAGTCTCAAAGCAAGATTTTTGTTCAGTGATTTGTGATTTGATTTCTTCTCTTTTTTTTGCCTAGATCCATATCTTCAATACAGTCTGACTTTTCATCCATGCAAACAAAATCAAGTATTTTCCATTTCTGTTCTCTTATCTCTGTAACTGAAAACATTTTTCTCTCATCTGCAGGCTTTCAATAAGAATAACTTGATCCTGGAGGAAAGAAATAAGTATTTCAACCCTCAGCTAGCAGGAAAAACATATACCAACGCATACTTCACTGACGTCAACACTTATGACGACTTTTAAAAATGGATCTGTGATTCCAATCATCTTCACCACATTAACTTCAGCACCTAGTGATTTTATTTTTTTGCCTCTTTTTCTCCGTGGGTTACCCGGATAAATAAAAAGACATTTTACGTGGGACCATTTTACCATCAAATGCCAATAAAGCTGTACAGAACCATTCTCACAGTTAACAAGGACATCATGCTCTCCAGTTGTGCGGACATCGTTAAATGAAATTGAACTATGGTGGACAAATAAAGCAGGCGATTTGATTCAACCGAGACGCTGATAAACTCTCCCCGCAGAGATGGCACATGGATGCTTTGCATGATCTCATCTGATGTGTTTTGCTTTCATTTATTTGCATGGTTGGTCGCATTCCAGTGTTAGTGGGCGGGGCCTGTGTCCTAAATGGGTGGAGCCTTCTTGGACTGCTTTGTTTCCTGTGCCGAATCAGAAGCCCCTGTGCCTCACTGAGGACCTACGGTGGTCTCCAGTTCATCTGCCTGCCCTATCACTGGGTTTTGCCGCAACAGACAAACACAATCCATATGTAGATACCGCAGTCTCTGAAAACTTTGTTAATGTATCTCTCAATATGGGGCACTTGTTAGTCGAGCTCTTAGTGGTGGGAATCTCTGTGTTTTTGTTGTAAAATACACTTTTCATGACGCATATGTCAGTGTAGCATTTATAGATGAGTCTATTCTGAAAAAAGAAGTGTTAGTTTGTTTCAAAGTAACCCTGTTCAGTCATCAAAACATGACTTGTCATATTAACATTAGTCTTTATGTGGTGTAAGGTCTGCAAAAAAGAGAGAATGTGAAACGCTACAGGACCTTTTTATGTAAAACATTGATCATTTGAATATTATCGACATGTTTCTATTTGTTTAGTTGTTTAATAGTTCAAAATTTCATGAGAAAACAAGTATTATCTGTAAAAACAAACTGCTTTCTAGCACAAAGAACTGCTTTTTCAGCTTTTATTTTCTTTCATTTTCAAATATTTGAATGAATTTACTTAACCATAAACTTAACCATCCATCCATTATGGAGAGGTGCTTGGGAATCCACTTTTTCAATTTCTACTAATTCTTTTCTACTTGTAAAACTTTGTTTGCTTGTTTTATGTGCATAAATTAAAATTGCTTCATATACCTCACTGTGTTCAATCTATGAAATGTGACATGCCGAGTTGTTGCTTGAATTCACTTAGTCAGTGCAGGTTCAATGGAAAAACAACCTGTGGAGACATTTCTGTAAAATATTACATTGCTTCTTACATGTTTTGCCATACTATCAAAGTGAAATGTTCAGTGAGTGGTGGCTGCTAACAGCGCGTTCAGTTTTATGCAAAATGGTTAACTGGACTACTATTACTGCAATTCGGAAATTAAAGCGACTATATCTACGATTTTTTTTCTATCTTAAAATATCAGTTTTAAAATCATTCTTATGGTACACTGACTTCTAATAATTCAGATGGCTTCTCCCAGGTAGCCAAAACGGTTTTGGCCCAATAATGGCCCCGATCCGGCAGGCTGGATAAAATAACTCGGCCTGGCTGCAGTTGCCAGACTCGGCATGGACATGGGATGAATGACGCCCCAGAATTGGCCCAAATACACTGGCCCGAGTTTTAAATACATAAATACATATTTTACAGCGTCTCTGTTAAGTCTACATGTACTTATGCATGTCAACTAAACATGTCACCTTTACAAAGATTAAGGGTTTGGCCTTTACACCATTTCTTTTCATGGCGGCAGCTCTGCACAGTTTAGCTCCAACCAGCTCCAACTCACACCTGCTTGGAAGTTTCTAGTAATCATGAAGACCTTGATTAGCTGGATCAGGTGTGCTTGATTATGGTTGGAGCTAAACTCTAGCTCACAATTATAGCTTCATTATAAATAAACATTACTTTGATATTATATGTGTAGAACGGTTTATTAAAATTATATTATATGTTAGATTATCAAATGTTTACTCACCAGGGTAGCAAGTTCTTCTGGTCTTCTGGCAATTAGCAGCACAAAAAGCCTATCAGGTTTTGTCATTAGATGTCAAAGCTAGTGCACATGACTTGAAACTCATATAGCAAAAAAAATTTTAAGTTCCCTTAACCACTTTAAGCTTGTTCCATTATATTAATTAAATCATTAATTTCCAAATGTAGTTAAAGAAAAAAGAGAATGTTGGATAAAAGGAAAAAAATATTAATAGGAATTAAAATAAAAAAAAATACACTAAGAAATAACATGGGCAGGTAAAATATATTGTTTAAGTTTAAGTGTCACTGCTACATACTATTTACCACATTGTAAATGGAGACCCACCCCCAGCACTCAACCTAAACTGGTCCAGGTATGCATGCCCATATCTCAGCCAAAATCAGACCAGCCCTTATGGTCCGTAATCGGGCCGAATGTGGCTAAATGTGCCGTGTCTCAGTGCAAATCAGGCCAGGTCTGCACATCCAAAGCCTAGCCAAATCTGGCAACCATTACTGGGCCAAAGCTGGCTCACTTTTGGTGAGCCGCTGCCAGAACACAGCCGAGTGAGCCGACACTCGGCCGCAATTGGCCCGATTGCACTGGCTACCTGGACTGTCTTACGAAATTGAGCAAAAGGAGTGGATTGTTTCACGCCAACAACAAATGCACGCGTACAGCCATCCACTGTAATTATGACAGTGAATTACACTCACTTAACTGTAGGGGGCTCCAAAGTTGTAAAAATACACAAAAATAGTTGTTTTAAATGTCCGGTGAGTGGCGCTAAAATGTTAATGATCCATCTTACTAAACTTACTAAATTTAAGGATAATGAGCAAAATCAAAAGTAAGAGAACCATTTTGGTGAAGTAACCAAGCCATTTTACCTCATCTGTGAGGCTTTGAGCTCTTTCATGACTCGTGTTTCTCTGCATTGCAAGGGCAGCGCGGTACCAGGTGAGTAAGTTTTAATGCGTCAGAAAAGCCACAGGCTAATATGATTATTTTACGCAAACATCAAAACGTGATTTTGTGTACTGCAGTGTTTGTGCAAGGAAATATAATTGATTCTGTCTTTGGTTATACTTTATGCCGAAATGAATACAAGTTGTTGGTGTTTTTTACTGCAACTACCAGCTGGAAACTGCAGTGACTTTACACATATGTACGTTATTTAAATTTTTGCAAAACTAGACACATTTTCCAATCAGACAGTGTTGCATTTACATGGTTTTTGTGGGTCTTAAAAAGTCTTAATTTGCCCTTCCACCATTTAAGGCCTTAAAGTCTTAAATATGAGCAAGTCATTAAATGTTGTATGCACTGCAAAAAAGAAAAGAAAAAGAATGTCTTGCTCAGCATTTTTGTTTTCCAATATAAACATCTCTACACCCTTAAATCAGGATTTACGCAAAATGAAAATGTAAAATTTTACCAACTTAAGTGCGTTATACTTAATACAAGAACAAATATCTGCCCATGCGGAATGAAAACAACTTTTTCTTTTGAATTAAGATGATTTTTAGCACCCTTATTTAGAAACCCTTATTTAGTGGGCATGACCACAATAGCCGCATTTCCTGAGAAGACCTTCTTTCTGTCAGCTTTTTTTTTTTTAATCCTGTGTGAGAAGGTAATTGAGTGTCATAGATCCACTCGTACATGCTTGTGTGTGAACTGGAGGTGTTGAAATCACAGGTTCCCGGTTCTGAGGATTAATCACAGTTTACTTTGACTCATGATCAGGGTTGTGAGGCTCACTAGTCTGGTCCTGTATGCTCAGATGGTGTTTGGGTAAGTATAGGTGCTATTCATTTGTTAAAATGGCATGCCTGATCTGCTTCATTTAAGACTTTTTCTAATCCATAAACATGGTCTGCAGTGACTAATGTGGCATAGGGTGCTCTCTTTGACCCAGCACTCACCTCCAATTGACTTGCTTGATGTACTGAACCACCTGGTTCAACAAACAACCACCCACATGCATACACACATCCATGACTTAACTCTTTGTAAAGATGCTAGTTGTTTTACTAGAAATTATGTCAGTTATATTTCTAAAGTGAACCTTTAACATAATTTGTTACTGCCACATTCTTCAGACAGGCTTAGTTTTCTGCTGCTGTATAAGAACATGTGCTGACTCGATGTAGTGCTTATTTTTCCATCAGACTTCACCGTTTATTTCTAAAACACAATCAGATTTTTAAAATAATGTTTATGTCGTCACGTATGTCTTAAGTTCATGTTTCCTGCTCTGGGGTTCGTTGATGAGAGCTAATAATTAAATTGTAAAAATATTAAATTAAAATTAAAAATTAAAAACAAAACATATTGAAAAGATTAAATATTTTATTTGTTTACCGGCATGTCATGTGACCATTAACATTATCAGAGAACTGTTAACATCCAAATGTTTTCTTAAATTATTAAAATATTGAGTTCAGGGGGTACTTCAAGTAAATATTTTAAAGGTCCCATATTGTCAAAACTTAAATTTCCTGCCTTTTTTCATGATAACTGAGGTCTAGGTGCTATGTAACTACCATATAAGTTTCAAAACGCAGTCCCGTTGTGACTTCCGTAAAAAGTTGACGTCAGAACTACACAGTCACCGTTTAAGTAAAAGGGGTGCAACTGACAAAAAATTTAATGTAGCCTAGAATGTACAGTTTTGATAATTCCTATGGAGCATTTTTATATTTTATCATATGTCATATTAAATATACAGTAAAAAAAATGTGCACAGTGTACTGTGTTAATATGAAGTATTTTTTTACAGATGGGTTTTTAATTATGAATTGTATTGTGTTGTATTTTAAGGTTAAAATACATTATATTAAAATATTAAACATTTCCATAAACCTAACGGAAAATGTACTAGTAATGTTTTTCTTTTTTTGCCAGGAAATTATTATTATTATTATTTACAGTATGAAACTCAAAACTTTTATCAGAAGAATAAAGAAGAATAGTTTACTAATAAACTAATAATATGTGTTATTTTCCCATATTTTTACTTGTTTTTTTAACAAAAAAAGCTACTTTCTTTATGGAAGGATGTTTTTTTAATTTTCATTGGAGGGAAAAAACAAACATCAGCTTAAAAAAATCAGTAAGTAGAAGCTATGATTAATTCTATGATGCTTTGTTGCATTAGTATGTCTGACTTTTTAATAATTCTGTTTGATCAAATTATACATTTTTGATTATTAAAAAAATATCAAAATGAACTTAAAGGGGTCATATGATGCGATTTCAAGTTTTCCTTTCTCTTCATGTGTCTAGCATGAACTCATGTTTTAAAATGATGTTTAAGTTTGCTACCATTGTGTAAATAACAAAGTTATAAAAATAAAAAAGTTTCTGATCTTGACCAGAGCATATTTATAACCATTTTAGAGAAATATTATATTAAATAAAATGTATGCATGTATGTATGTATGTATACATATAGACACAATACAGAGCTGCAGCTTTGAGTCTTGATTTTGTCAGAAACACTTGGAAAAAAGACTGTTGAATATTAAAAGACATTATTAACATTGAACTTGTTACTGCACAAGCAATGAAAATCTGATTTGAATGCATTGAGAGGCTGTGGAAATCAATGCTGGTGCTCGGCTAAAAGCAGCGTAGCCTGTGGGGGAATCATTACATTCAGATATGGACACTGCTTCAGTCTGTGCAGAGTCAAGCTTTACTGCTCAGCCTTATTAGTGCTAAAGTATATCACATTACAAAAACAAATCACAGAATAATATAGATACAGCTCACAAAAACATACCTCATATTTAAACCTGGTTGTGCATTAGTTGGCTTTTCTGTTGATTATCCTTCAATAATAACTGCTGGCATCAGGGGCAATTTTGGAAATAAAAAGCAATCATATTGCTTGTATTTTGGAAGGTTATGACTTTGTTGTTCGTTCTTGCAAAATGTATTATGATGATTTTCCTCTTTTTATTCTTTGTGTTCTTTTTTCTTAGTTTTCCTTCCCCTATTAGAATATGGTATTGTATGTGTCTCTGTGTATAAATGCATTTATTTATTCATTTTGAAAAAGGGAATGCATTTTGACATACACAAAATAATCATCAATCACAAGTGTAAATAATGCAGTAACCTGTAAAACAGTGAACAGTAAAGCAGTA